TYMMCCCCMRRMCYTTTTWWAAAAAAAAAAAAACGATTTGAAACAGGGACTTGCTAAGATGTCCAGGCTGGTCTCAAACTCATTTTCCTGAGCAGCAGGGAGCAGGGATTACAGGCATGCACTACCATACTTGGCTAATGATTTTTTTTAAAAAATAAATATTTACATACAAGGTCTTAGTTTAGGAAACTGTTTTTAAATGTCTATTTCTGGGTTTGATCTCCAGCTCCACCATCTCCCAAAAAAAAGGAAAGAGAAAAAATTCTGACACATTTTAAGCTCACTTATCTGTCCTGGAAAGATCAATGGATAAATGGATATTTTAGTTATTAACAGTAGTATAAAATAACCACTATATGCATTTTATTACTCTTAGATGTGAACCACTACCTGTCTTCTAATTCTTAGAACCTCTTGGTTCTTGGTACTTGATTTATTCCCCCTCTATATAGTCAATGTCAGAGTGACAGTGATATAAATAGTTCTGTTTTTTAAATCCCAGTAAACTATTTTACCATAACTTGTGTATGTGTTAATACCATTTAGTTTCTGTTATAAATTAAAACTCTTGTTTTAAAATGAAAGACATGTGCTCTTGAATATCTACAAACCTGAAGTCAGAGAAAATTTATATATATATATATATATATATATATATATATATATATATAAAATCTGAGATGGAGGTTTTGACAAATGGCAACAAAAATTGTTAAAGAGAAAGGCAAGATATTTTGGTCACAACTAAACCTAAATTAATCTTCATATAAAGTCTTATTAAAACAAATGCTCAAGTCCTGGAAAAGTTTTCACTTGTTCTGCCAGTAATTTTACCCTTCAGAGAGTGGTGGCTCTAATCAGGGGAACTATTACTTGGTGATCCTCATTAAGGGACTAATTTGTCAAAGCAGTGGTACTAGCTGAAGTGATGGATATGTGGGCATTCACTGTGAGAAAGGATTTTGCTGAGGTAGCTGGCACAGGGCAGGGGACTCACTCAGGCTGCAGATGATGCTACCAGTTCAGGGTCAAGGACTTTGTGTGGGCAACAGGTGCAACTTGGGCCAGCATCTATGTGAAGGGCCTGATCTGAGGACAAAGGGGACTTATGGCATTCTGGGAAATGAGAGTTCCTGTTGACCAGAGTCTTGGCACAAGCATTGACATATCAACCAAGGTAGAAATACCAGAAAGAAAGTTGGCAGAAACTAGGAGACGGGTTCAGAGCCTCTGCCAACTGGACGGGGCTCAGCATTGGATCCTGGCCCAGCAGAGAAGAGAAGTGAAAACCAGGAACCTGGGCTGAAGTCCAGCAGTCAGGCTGGCCACACTGAGGGGTCAGTTGCAGAGGTTGCAGCATAGTACCTAAAGGGGTGATCTGAGGTCACAGTCCATCCCCAGACCAGGAAAGGGGACTCCAGAATTTCTGAATCCCATTCACTGCTAAGAAAGAATCTCTCAGTGCTTTGAATAATGTGTTGTTCTGCTTCTTGGCTGGTTTCTACTCTAAAGAACAGAGTAAACCAGTGTAGGAGGAAGAATTAGAATATGCCTACACTGACATTTGAGTTTTAGGAGAATTTAATCATACACTGACTGGGTTAGACATAGACCATTTTTTGTGGGGGAGGGTAATTGAAGATTGAACCCAGGTATGATCTACTACTAAGCTACAGCCCAACCTTATTTTTTAATTTTTCAGTTTGAGAAAGGATCTCATTAAGTTGTCCATGTTGACTCAAACTTGTGATTCTCCTGCCTCAGCCTCTGGGGTAGCTGGGATTGCAGGTGTGCCCCACTGTGCCCAGCTATATCCAGGTCTTTACAAAAGTAGACCACACAAAATTCAAAGAATTTTAGACATCTTTATGAAGATGAGGAAATAGCTATAAGGGATGGAAAGAACTAAAAATGTCATTTTCACTGGGCTATCACAAATTATTCCAATAAAGAAAAGAAGCATACCAAAGATACTGTGACTGTAGGATCCTCAGGGGTATGCTCTTGCTTTCTAATGATATTTGTAACAGTTGAAAAGCAGAGTATTAGGCCAAGCATGAAAATACAACAATATCAGTTATATTAATATATTATCAATTAAAGCTAATTCAAATGTATTCTGCTGGCGTGTGTAACTAAACAGAACAATTTTTTAAAGATTAAAAATTCCAAAAAAAAAAAATTAATTTTCCAAATCAGAAAAGAACATTTAAGGGTTATTTCAGTTATGTTTCCAAAAAGAAGATGTAAGTAGGGATAGGTCTAATTCTTGAGATCACTGTAGTGTAGTTTTGATGGGAAGCAGACTTTGAGTCTGAGATTTAATTCAAGTGTGCCTTGAGGATCACACAGAGAGAAGGGAAGGAGCCAGGACTGGGCAAGAAAGAGGTTATGCTGTGATCAGGTTGCAACAAAGGCTTCAGCTGATCCCTGGGAGCTCTGAACTTGATGGCTGGCCCTGCAGAAATGTCTGAAGTTGGGATAAGAGAGCTGGGTCTTTATAACTTCTCACTGATTAACACTCACTGGACATGAACTATCCCCAGAAGTGGGGATATAGCTTTGGGTAAGATGGCCCTCTTTGGTTAAGGGCAATCACTGAGAGGGACAGCCCAGCTACAAACTGTCCTCTGTCAACTTCTCAGCACCTGGGAGAATGAGAATGCTTCAGTTCCAAGGTGCAGGCAGGGCAGAATCTGGGTAGTGTCCCATAGCTTCTACTATAATCCACCTCTTGCACCAATTAGATCCACTGGCCTTTGGTTTTGTGGGTTTGTTTGTTTGTTTGGGGGTACTGGCTGTGAACGCAAGGTTTTACCTCTGAGCTCCATCCACAGCCCTTTTTTGTTTTGGTTTGTTTTATTTGAGATAGGGTCTTGCTAAGTTGCTTAGGGACTCACCAAGTTGCTGAGGCTGGTCTTGAACTTGCATTCCTCTTGCCTGGGCTTCCCTAGTTGCTGGGATTACAGGTATGTACCACTATGCTCAGGTGTGATTTGGATTTTAAATGTCCCTCAAGAGCCCATATGTTAAGACTTGGCCCTCAGCTTGCCACCATTGGAAAGTAGTGAAATTTTAAGAAGTAGGGCCTAGTGAGAGGTCTTCCAGTCATTAGGGTGTGCCCCTGCCCTTTCCTCTTCCTTTCTTTTTTTGCTTCTTGGCTGTGAGGTGACAGGTTTTGTTTTGCTACATGCTTTGCTATGATGTGCTGCCTCAGCACAGGTCCAGAGCAACAGGACCAATCATGGACTGGAAATTCTAAAACCATGAGACACCATAAACCTTTTCTCTTTAATACATTGATTGCCTCAGGTATCTGTTACAGTAGAAGAAAACTGACTAACTCAGTCTTTGTTTCTCCTTCACATTTCTTTTGGGGGTGGGTACTGGAGATTGAACCTAGGGATGTTTTACCGATAAGCTACATCCCTATAGCCCCAGTCCTTTCTTGATTTGATTTTTTTCTTTTTTTTTATACCTTTATTTTATTTATTTATTTTATGTGGTGCCAAGGATCAAACCCAATGCTTCACCCATGCTAGGTGTTCTATCACCGAGCCACTGCCCTAGTCCTTCTTGATTTGATTATTTTTTTGTACTTGTCATTGAACTTAGGGGTGATTTATGTTTGAGCTACATTCCCAGAGCTCCCCCGCCTCCCCCGCCACCTTTTTGAGACAGGGTCTCACTAAGTTGCTGAAGCTGACCTGGAACTCATTTGGAATCATCCTGCTTCAACTTCCTAACTTGCTGGGATTACAGGTGTGAACCACCGTACTTGATCATTTTTACTTTTTTTTATTTGTTTGTTTTGAGACAGAATCTCACTAAATTGCCTTAGCATACAGTAGGTTTTATTCTATTCATTCTGTCAATATCTACCCTTTGTTAATGGTGCTTGGAATTGAACCCAGGGCATCACACATACCAAGCACATGCCTTGTGACTGAGTTATACCCCAGCCAAATCTCTGCCTTTCAAATTGTATATTTAAACCATTTGTACTTAATGTAAATATTGATATCTAAAGGCTTAAATCACTATTTTACTTTTTGTCTTCTCTTTCTTTTCTCCATTTTTCACTTTTGTTTTCTTTTTCTTGTCTTCACATTGGCTACATAAATACTTTCATCATTTCATTTGATTTATTCATAATGTTTTGTTTTTCTTTTTATTTTCTTCTTTCTTTCTTCCTTTTTTTTTTTTTTTTTGGTAGTCCTAGAGATTGAACCTA